GCTTGTATAACTGCAGTGTGAGATTGAGTTTGGATTCAATTTGTTAGTGTATTTAAATCAGATAATACATATACCACCCCCCAGATAAACAATGCTGCTGCCTACTGTGACACAGTACTCCTTCATCCAGAGTGGAGGCACTCTAATACAGGTGGTGTGGTACTGGCCAGATCACCAGGTGAAAACAGTGGGGAAAAAAGCCTAAAGCAGAAAACTAATACAGTCACCGCAACTAATGATTGGTAAGCTGCAGTATATTACATTATTGGTTTTGTTTTTAATACCACTTTAATTCTATATTTTATTTAGCCTGTTTTGGGGTATGTTATGCTGTGGTGATTTTTACTATTTTTCATTTTATTGTGAGTGCTGAGCTATGCAGATAGCTAAAATTGGTGTATGTTGAATTGTATATATGGTATTTTAGTTTTTCCTAGTTTTTTGCTCAGAATGTGTTAATGCAGTTTTGTTGTATGCTGTCTGGAGTAAATATATGACATGCTAATTATGTTGTTGTGTTTTATAACTTGCAACAAGCACTTGCTGTTTTGCTGCACTGGTTACTAAAGAGGTACCTCTATGCAATAATTGCACTATTCTTCACTATAAAACTTTATGGGAAAACTGTATTACTAATTTCACTTTCTTCTGTTTAGATGCCACCCAGAGGGGAAATGCTTTTTTATGTGACATGATTTGCTTCTCAATGAGTTAAAAGGGTTTTATCACTGCACAACTGATAATATTTATTAGTTGCATTCATATGTTTAAGCAGCCAAATGGTGACAGTTCATTGTGAAGACAGTCATTTTTATATGTTTAGTATTTGAATTTGGTAATCCCATTCCATAACATACCTAATCATTTACAAATCCTCTTTTTTAGTATGTAGAGCACATATATATGGAAAGGTGTAACACAATTAACCATTTATTTTAGAACCACACATCTTTTTACCACACATATAAATCAATACTGTGGCATGGCATGTTGGTAGGGGAGAAGGAAGAGATATTTTAATTTAAATGAAAAGTATACAACGATAAAAAGTTAAAGGAAAAACGTACCCACAGTAGTGAAAATTCTCCAAAGCCAATTCCTTTTATTCTCCAGTGAGTGTGTGAAAAACTTTATAGGTAAAGTTGATCCAGGGAATACCAGATTGCCTCTAGGGAGATCAGGAAGGATTTTTTTTCCCAGCAGGAGCAAATTGGATCATGCTTTGCTGTTTTTTTTTTTTTTGCCTTCCTCTGGATCAACTGTGGGTATAGGATCAGGGGCGGACTGACCATTTGGAAACTCAGGCACCACCCGAGGGCCTGGGGTCAGTAGGGGGCCTCATGAGATGCCCCTGGTACCTTTTTCATAGGCTTTTTTGAGTTTGGGCAAGGACACAGGGGCCCCATGATCCCCTATTGCCCGGGGGCCCCATGAGTTGTCAGTCCGACCCTGTATAGGATTATAACTTTTTTTTTCTATGTTTGAACTGGATGGACTTTTGTCTTTTTTCAGCCAGACTAACTATGCAACTATATGTAAAAAACAATTTTCATTGTATGTCAACATCAATATGTGCAAAAACAGTATGTACCCAGAACACCTCACATTATACACATTTGCTACACCACATCCCCCCCAATCTCCATAGTAAAAACAAAAGTTATACATACACAGGATAGACAAATAAAGGCAGACATGCTTTCTAGCAGAAGGAGCACCCACATAAGTCATTGCACAAGTTGAAAAAGTGGTTGATTTATTAAAACTGTTGAGTGGAAATCTGGTGCAGCTCTGCATGGTAGCCAATCAGCTTCTAACTTCAGCTTGTTCAATTAAGCTTTACAAAAACCTGGAAGTTGATTGGATTCTATGCAGAGCTGCACCAGATTTTGCTCTCTCACGTTTTAGTAGATCAACCCCATAATCTAATTAATCAAAGTTCTGTAAGCCTTCTTCTCCTTCATTCTCCACCAAGACAAAAAGATAAATAAAGTGACAAGCTCTTCATTGCTGGGCATACCATTCGTACAATCAGGGCTCGCTTACAGCTTCTAGGAATCAATCTTCAGTTCTGGTTGTTGAATCTCTGTTCTCCTTGACCAGCTATTTCTCTCTGCTCAGACCAGCAGCTGAGATGGTGCAGCAGAAAGATGGTTGTGCAAGTCTTGGACACATTTGGGAAAAAATAAGTAGGGACCTGCCAACCAGCTACACTCAAAAAGCATGTGCTGCTGCTGAGAATACTTGAAAAAATGGCAGAGTTGAAATTAATCAGACTGGGGTGCTGTTGTATGTAATGCACAGCTAATTGTAAAGAAAATAAGTAAATTGCACAGCCAAATATGTACTGTATTGTGAGAGTACTCTGCTCTGTCACAACACTCATAGATTTAAGGCATCCTTCAAGCAAGTGATTAAAGAAAAAACATTTCAATGTTGCTCTTGAACATTTTCAATGTTGCTTTAAAAGAATCTTCTCTGAGCTGTACAGTATTTTTGGCCCTGTACATCATGGCTTTTTTAAATCACTTGCTTATTAGCTCCAAAAATTAAAAGCATTTTCAAAAAGGAATCACCCCCACCCCCATTTCAATGAATTTCAGATAGGATGTACCAAACACTCAGTGTGGGCAGCACAGTGCCTAAATGGTTAGCACTTCTGCTTGGCAGCTGGTTGGTTTGAATCCCAACCATGGCACCACCTGCCTGGAATTTGCATGTTCTCCCTGTGCCTGTGTGGGTTTCCCCCAGGTACTCAGGTTTCCTCCCACACTCCAAAGACATGCTGGAAGGTTAATTGGATCTTGTCTAAACTGGCTCTAGTATGTGTATGTATGAATGTAAGTTAGGGACCTTAGATTGTACACCTCTTGAGGGTTAGGGACTGATGTGAATGTACAATATATATGTAAAGCACTACATAAATTGATGGCGCTATATAAGTACCTGTAATAAATAAATAATTGAACTCCAGGCATATTTGTTCATCTCTACTCTTTTCTCTATTACCAAAAATATAGAGCCCACCATTGCCAAACTTTTGCTACAAATTTTATTTGCCTCTCTGTCTCTGATTTAATACTTTCAGACACTGATGAGGAGCAAGCATGTAGATTAGAAAAGTTAGACATAAGTCAGAACTTCCAATCTATGTACTTGCTTAATACATTGCATTGCAGCTAATGTGTTAGCATAACATCCAGGGAACTAGTAGGTTAATAAGAAAGGGTGAGCAATCAATAGTAATAAAAGCAAACACCAACTGCATTCAACAAAATGCCTCATGCAACAATCTCCAGCCCAATGGCACTGATTGGACTCCAACACTAATTTAATTCCTAATAAGGTAATCTTCACAGAAGACTTGTACAGCATCAATTTAAATCAATATCTCTTTATTTATTTTATAATAAAAGCATTGCAGTACCAAGTTTAAAAGTCCTCTAACAAGAGCACTGCAATATGTCAACCCTCAACAGCTCTATGTCATGTCTGTGACAAAGGACTGTTAAGACTTGAAATATTGCCATGTTCTTGTTGGAGGACTTTTAAACATGGTACTGCCATACTTTATTATAAAGGTAATGAAGAGCTTTGGATTAAAACTTACATTGTATCAGCCCTCTATACAGATCTGCTGAGTTTTTTTTAACCCCATCCTACCCACCATCTGTATATAAATGTTCTCCAGCGTGATTCCCCATGCTTGGAATGAGTTTATTCACTTAAGGAACGTCTGCCCAAAATGTACTGCGGAGAGGCAAGCCATACAGGCACAGTGATGTATCTGTATGTTGCTGGCCTCTTCAGCCTCTTCTGGGTACGGGGTGCGAACCCTTGCCCCCTAACACCCACTGTGATTAGACAGAGAGGGTTTTTTTAACACGTCCTGGCCAATGATTGACCTACTGATTGGCTGTGTCCAATCACAGTCCAGAGCCCTGTTTGGCAATCAACACAGGGCTCTATAGAGAGGGAATGATCTCTGTTTCTTGTCCCTGCAAAGCAGGGTGAAGGAACAAAGATATTTAGTAAAAAGCAGAACATAATACACACCTTAACACTTGTTAGGCACACACTTAATCCCTTGATCACCCTAGATGTTAGCCCCTTCCCAGCCAGTGACATTAGTACAGCGACAGTGTATAGTATTATCACTGATCAGTGTATTAGTGTGTTTGGTGATATCAGTGTCAATTAGTCAGTTCCCACCCAGAGTCAGTTAGTGTCAGATTGCATCAGTGTCAGTCGCTGATCACTGTCATTATTAGTATGAAAAGAAAATCCAGTATATATACATCATAGTTTGTAGACACTATAACGTTCATGCAAACCAATATATATACACTTATTGGAATTTTTTACATGTAGTAGACATGTAGTAGAATGAATTTCAGCCTAAATTTACAAGGAAACTTGATTTAATTTTTTTATTGGATATGTTATATAGCAAAATGTAAAAAATATTGTTTATTTTTTTCAAACTTTTCTGTCTATTTTGTTTATATATTAAAAAAATAATAAACCCAGTGGTGATAAAATACCAATAAAAGAAATCTGTATCTGCATGAAAACAATTATATAAATTTTGTTTGGTTACAGCGTTGCATGACCGTGCAGTTACCAGTTAAAGTAGCGCAAATAGGAAAAAGAGGCTTGGTCATGAAGGGGGTAAAACCTTCAAGAGCTGAAGTGGCTAGAAATTTTTTCCCCTTTCAGAGCCACTAGCCAACACTTAATTCATCAGCAAGGAGCTGAAGCAGAAATGGTTACCTATGTGACGAGAGTGGCTTAATAAACCATAACAATACTGTAAAAAAATATGCATTTTATTATAAACCAAAGAAGTCTAGGATATACAGAAATGATTAATACACAACATCTTAATTATCATTAAAAACAGCTAAATGGTGTCCGGCACTATGTAAATGTGTTGGTATAAAGCCACAGGGTCACTGGCTCACCATCAGTCTGAGAATCACAGAGTGAATCTATTGGGGTGGAGGTGCACTTATGTGGCTTACCATCAGGGGCGGACTGACAACTCATGGGGCCCCTGGGCAATAGGGGATCATGGGGCCCGTGTCCTTGCCCAAACTCAAAAAAGCCTATGAAAAAAGTACCAGGGGCATCTCAATGGGCCCCCTACTGACCCTGGGCCCTTGGGCAGTGCCCGAGTTTCCAAATGGTCAGTCCGCCCCTGCTTACCATGTAATCCCTGGTGAACATCTCAAATGCTAAGCAATTTCATTTGGCAATTCACCAAAGCAGGATCAGCCAGGGGTCATGTAACTAGTTAGCATGGAGGAGTCTCGTTCATTATCAGAATTAACAAGACAAATCACTCCACCAAGTAAGAACGGCCATGCACCACCACTCACAGAATCGAGAAAGAGCTATCAATCTGTCAATCCTTTCCGTGTCCGGGCCGGGTGAGGTTTCTCGTGTTGGTGAGTTGCCAAATCAAATTGTTTAGCAGTTAACTGTTCACTAGGGATTACATGGTAAGCCACATAAGTGCACCTCCACCACAATAGATTCACTCTGTGATTCTCAGACTGAAGGTGAGAGGGACCCTGTAGCTTTATATCAACACATTTACATAGTGTCGGACACCATCTAGCTGAGTTTAATAATAATTAGGATGTTGTGTGTGTATTAATAATTTTTATGTATCCTAATCTTCTTTGGTTTATAATAAAACGTATACTTTTTACGATATTAATGTGGTTTATTAAGCCACTCTTGTCACATAGGTAATCATTTTCTGCTTCAGCTCCTTGCTGAAGAACCTTTCTTTTTTGGTATATGTGTAATTTGGTTACAGTGAAAGCACTGAATGCAGTGAGTTGGCAAAATCAACTTTAATAGATGGGCGGATCCCTTGTTAATTAGTCACCAACACTTAATTCAGTCTGACAGCTCAGGTCTCCACTGCCTCCTGATCATGTGATCACTATGACATAGTGATCACAATCAATTTTGAGGCTTAATTGTAAAAACGAATGCCTTCAGCCTGCAAATGAAAACTGAAACCTTCTTGCTGTAGTGTTCATCTGCAGAGCCATATGTTTAATGCTCTAATTATTTTTTTAAACAGCATATCCAATAAAAGCCTTATAAAAATGTATAAACATAAATTTAGGTATTTAAAATTATCACAGAGTTATTGTTGAGTTAACTGACAAATGCTGACATTTCAACCAGAGCATTTAAGCATCAGTGACCTCCAAACAACAACCATTCCTTTTATACAGTGTATCAGTATACTTCATATGTTTTGGGATAATGCAATGTACTGTAGTAAGGCAAGGAACAATTGTTGCAAAGGTGCAGTACTCTATTTTAAGTTTTAACTTCAGACAGATATTAAAAACCACCAATGAATGCAGTTATGCACAGTATTATTAAAAGGAAAAGAAGAAACAAAAAACAAACATTAGATGTGTTTAAAATGCATCTGATATTAATATCTGATTTTTACTTAATTTTCAGCCTTCTGGGCCAAAATTGTTTATTTTTAGATCCATGGTAAAAAGTAGGTCTCCAGCATAACTAGGTTGAGCACTTACTTTAGATGCAGGACGTCATGCCCCACCAGGGGCGGACTGACCATTTGGAAACTCGGGCTCTGCCCGAGGGCCTGGGGTCAGTAGGGGGCCCCATGAGATGCCCCTGGTACCCTTTTCATAGGCTTTTTTGAGTTTGGGCAAGGACACAGGGGCACCATGATCCCCTATTGCCCGGGGGCCCCATGAGTTGTCAGTCCGCTCTTGTGCCCCACTCACTTGTGGGGGCATCATGACCACAGTCTTGCTTCATAGTGCCATGTCATGATATCAGCTCCACTCCTGACATTAGTAAAACATGCCCAGCCCAGCCCAGGAAGAGATATCTGGAGCATCAGATGACCATTCTAAAGACTTCAGAAAAGGGGGGGGGGAGGCGTATCAGGTCTGTATGTAGTTTTTTGACCACTAAATCATAGAGGGCTGCAGTGTGAGCTAGCCATAGACTATGTGGCCCTGCTAGTTATTGTACTAAACAATGTTGAGACTGCAATTTCTATAACCTATTGTCTGTAATCAAGTTAAGTAATTATTACTTTCATTTAGTTCCTTTTATTGTGTGTGAGAGTGTTATTATTCAGTAGTTCTATATTAGGAGGTTTCAGCCAAAGCGGCGGGACATATTTGTCATTGTTTAAAATATTGCAAATGCTACTGGCAAATAAAACAACTAGTAAAAATGTTTTTCAAATGTGTATTTAGCTGTGTGTCTAGTTTTAAGACTTAATAAGATGAGTGAAACAGAAATTAAGATCCTAAGGTAACTGTGGGTCATTAGCCTTCACATACTGTTCTTTGCTTTGTGCAATAAGGGCCCTCTTACAGCTATCCATATTTAGTAACATGTTTTTATAACATCCATTAGTGGATGAGAGCCATTCAGTAAAGAGAGTTTCCATGGTTAAAATGCACTACAAAAACACAAAATGCATTATACATATGTTTTTGTGTTCAATGAACCTGCTTGACACAAGTTGATGCACAGAAATACCATATGCTATGCTGTAGACTCACTACACAGTATTAAATATGATTTCTATTTTGAATAATATTGCAAGTGTGAACAGGCCTGATGGTTTTACCAAATCCTACATGCTTGTTCCAGCATGCTATATCCTATATCTGGACTTATTGATTTTTTCCTCCTTAAAATCACATGTTAATGTTATGCCAAAGACATGTATAGGGTTTGTAAAAACAAAACCAAAAAATGTTTTGCACATAATAGCCAACGTGTGTTTCAAGATCTACGATGCACGTTATGGATATACTCACCTAACACATAAAAACAACAAATGTGTTATAATAGAAAGCAAATATTTTAGCACAGCAACAGCATACTTCATAATGTGTATAAAAAGAGACAGACAGATTGCCTAAATGATTGGTTGATCAGATTTGCAGTCACTGCTAAACAGGAAATAATAAAGAGTCTCTCATATATACAAGATATGGCTGAGTGATTGTAATGAGAACTCCATTATGATGGATGAATCACTGATGTATTACTGCAATGTCAGTGCAAGCATACATGTAGCATTTCTTTTTTATGTGAAGCCAAGAGTACAGTTGCACATCTCAGGTACCACATACAGTCGATCACTATCATTTTGTCCTTGGATAGCTACAAGATCCATGAATAAGCAAATACATACTGCATTAACTGTTCATTTCCCATTTATAAAAAAAATGTGTGTACAGACTAATCATGCTGTTAGCAGGTGTCAGAGGAAAGATATGCATGCCTTAATCAGAGAAATGAATCTTCCATTCTGGTTTCTATTGCTCAGAAATTCATGTCTACACAGTGAAACCATCAGCGTATTTCCCCCTGTATAAAATCTGGCATGAAGAAATCCCATACATACGTTTCAGCCCTGTATTTTTAGATCTCTTTCTTCCATTTAAGGTTTTCTTGAAAAAAGTACAGGTTGTCTCTTGTCAAGCATTATGTGCTGCAATTGACTTTAACAGAAGACAACAATGAGAGAAAATAACTCATATTAGGTAGATATAAATGCAGCATAATTTATGAACATTGTATTCATTCATTTACAGGACATGTGTGTTAAATTGCACTGCAACATACAAGCATAAATGTTGAATGTTTCCAGACTATGGATTTTAAAGTATCTACGTTTTTTAACAAGCAGTAAAGGAGCTTTAACACAGCTGTAAACTTCACAAATGAAATATGAACAAAGCATATCCCTCTATAATGTGTACTTGTCTTAATTAAGAGCACTAACTGTCATTTCAGTTTGCTGTCTTGTTCCTCTGCTGTCAGCATGGATCACTTCTGGTAAGTTTTTCTGACACCAGGGGCGGACTGACAACTCATGGGGCCCCCAGGCAATAGGGGATCATGGGGCCACTGTGTCCTTGCCCACACTCAAAAAAGCCTATTAAAAAGGTACCAGGGGTATTTAATGGGGCCCCCTACTGACCCCGGGCCCTCGGGCAGTGCCCGAGTGTTCGAATGGTCAGTCTGTCCCTGCCTGACACCAAGATAAAAATGGTGACAGGGATTGAACCTCCAGCAGATTGACAGTCTCAACTCTATGCCTGTGAGCTGTGTGGAAGTGGGTGTGTCTATTACCTCCAGTCAGATCCCAGAGCTGTCCTCACTGAGCTCTGCAGTATGTAAATTCACCCCCCCCCCTTTTTTTAATTCAGATTTTGAATGGATGTAGAAAAGAGAAGACTGCAAACAGACAGGTAGGAGTATCTCTGTGTATCACCTGAGGTTAGTCACTTCACTGGGTATATGCAAGCATTTACAGCCACAGCTACAAAAATCACAACAAAAACTCCAAACTCTGGTTTCAGTCTGTTTCTGACAGCTAAGAAACACCTACTGTGTGTTTTTATTAGCAGTCTGGTGTGCTGCCAAGATCCTGCTGTAATGGGAAATAGGATTTCTGTGCCTCTGTTGTGAGCTTTGAAATGCTTTTTCACAATGCCTATAGCTGCAGAGGTTAGTGAGGGCTTCTTTTAAAATGCTTTTTCTGCTTGTTCAGAATGTGTAAATGCTTAGCTATGCATAGTCTAAGTACAATTTTAATTTAAGGTGTTACACTTAACATGGAGGTAAAGTAAAAGTATCATGCAAAATGATTATACAGAAAATGAAACTATGATTTGGCTATATACAGCCAAAACAATATGCAAATGTAGTAGAAAAGTAATATTAGGGAGAAAAGAAGTAATGGGGTTTAATGTAACCACAGACAAACATATTTACATATACCAAGAAAAGCAAGCAATGTGAACATTAAAAAAGAGACAGTCATTGCACAAAGAGTAAAAAACGAACCCAAAAGGGGGTAAAAGAGAATACTCAGATTGCATTTTCAAGGATGTAAAGGCTAGGGTTATACAAAAAATGCACATGCAACCAATAGAAATATGCTGAAAAGTCTAATCCCCCTTCTGTCAGGGACTGGAGTTAAAGCATGTCTAAACTCCAAAACCAAATGTTGAAAGCAGTAGTAAAGTCTCTTTAATAAAGTAAAAAAAAAAGTGCCCCCCTGCAGGTTTAAGTCATAATGTGATAATGTAGTAGTATGCGCTGCATACTAGTACATTATGAGAGACTTACTGTACCTACCAATGAAGCCCCCCAGCTCTGGGCTGTCATGGTTCTCCCTGGTCCCTAGTTCCTCCATATTAACCCAGTCTTCCTTCCGGGTTCCAAATCTTCAGCTGTTTGAACGGCCGGGCTGCAGGGACATCACTCCTGCCCATGCTCACAGGAGTCGCGTCACTGAGGCACAGAGATCGGGCCATAAATGCAATCTGAGCTGCACATGCATGGCTCAGATTGCATTACCGCTGATAGGCAGGGGAGACATATACGACAGAAGAAACCTCTGGGGTCTCTTCTGTTTTGAAAACCCTGCCTTTCACTGTTTTTTTTTCAATGCTTAAGTTTACTACCACTTTAATACATTGCAGTTCACGGGAATTGATAAGGATAGTGCCTGTCTAGCAAGACCAACAGATATTTTCTATACTTGCTGAAAATAAAACAAATGCAGCCATTAAATCTAAGGACTGCTAAGCTGCATTATATTACATTTTTGGTTTGGCCTTTCAATAAGCTTTAAATGAGAATCAGCATTTATAGCTACAGAAGATGGATGTGAAATGCGCTAATAACTAGGGATGAGCCTAGGTTTGGACTGAACTTTGGCTGTTTTGCATTTGGACAAATGCTTAAACCTTTGCCTGTTTGGTCCCCTGTTCAGTGGGACCTGAACATCATATTTAGAAGTGATATTTCTACCACTTCTATATATATATAAGTTTCCCACTGTCAATGGTTACTGAGTAAGCTGCAGGTGCTGGCAGCTGCTGTGTCCCTAGCAACTGCCGCTGTCACTCGTGCATTGCTTACATTGCTCAAAATCCACATCTACATAAGCAAAGCGGTGGGATAGCAGTGACATCAATGCCCAAATATGACTATATTTGCTCTATGATGTCACTACTATCCTCACGACTTCCATTATAAAGCTGATTACAGCTTGGAAAGCTGTCATTCAGTGAGCAGTACTGTTTGGATCAGTCATGTGCACTGGGTCTGTTGGATTTTTAATTTTGGAAAGTAATTGGGTGAAGAGCATCATGATTTATAATGGATTTACAACTAGTGAATTTTTGGAGAATTTAATTGGAGTTTTTTTAATAAGGAACTTGTCAGACATGTGGGTCTTTGTGTACCGCCCCTTGATGACGTCGGTGTGACAAAACCGGTTGGGCATGGCCTACTCGATGTGGACGTTAGAGAGCCTTGCTGTTCTGTGATGTATGGGAGAGATCCGCGGTGAGGGTTAACTGTATCTCAACCCTTTTTTGCGATTGAAGCTGGTGTCTGTTGGACACCTTGTTTGTGAGTTTCCTTATACCTTTTTTATTAAAGAGATAAATGAGAAAAACGTATTGCACCATTATGTTCTCTTTTTTGTCCCTGAGTGTACTGCATGCTTTCATGGAGGTATGAGAAAGAGTGGAGAAGTTCATCATAAGAGCTTGGGCTGCAAAGTTGTTTGTCTGTGATTATTATTATCTGGAAGTATCTGAAACATCATGTTGTGGTATCACCATATCTATTTGGACATCGGGTTCATTGCTCCCAGAGCACAAGCACTGTTGCTGGTTTATAATCTGACCAGCCATTAGCTCTCGTGAGTTCATTTAATCTCCTTTGGTGGTGGATTTTTCACAATTGGTTCAAGTCACTGAAGATATATATATATATATATTTTTGGACACTAATTTATGTTTGGACACTATAATTATTTATTTAAAACACTAATGTTTTTGGATGATGATATACACCTTTGTATAAGTTTGTTATTAGCGCATACCTTTTAATTAGGATGTGGGTCTTTATTTCTAGATGACATTTTTGTGTAAATGAGTAGGGGTATGTATTTATGAATCCAGGATAAGAATGGGAACACCAAACCTGCACCTAAGAAATCAAGTCATCAATGAAAGCTCATATTTTCATTAAGAGTTTCTGTCACCACGCCATGTAATTTCTAATACATCAGTTCTCCAGGGCGAGCATTCCTGTCTAACACATAGGAGATGCTTTTAGCATCTACTTATACTAGTATGTTAATAAGACAGTAAATACATACTTTTAAAATGAAATGCTTTGACGTTCATTAGTGAAACTGAAATGTTTTACTACTTCTTAATATTATTTGGAAAATTATTTTGACATGGGGCTATCAGTGCTGTTATACTGTCTCCTAAAAGCTTCAGTTCTCATTTCTGCATAAAGTATACACAGGGAACATTTATCAAACTACCTCAGGCTGAAAGTCTGGCAACATCTGCTCTCTACACATATTTTACCAAAGTGCATGTTAAAGACACGACAATTGTGATTCATGAATTGTATGATTCTCCACAGACTGGTTACATTTGCATGCGTATACTTAGGCGAATGCAACAAAAAAAATGTACAATTTGCACATTTGCTACTTTTGCAAATTCTCTAATCATTACAAATTATGATGAAACGACATGAAGCCATTTCAAATATTTATAAAGTCTTACTTTCTGAAAAACCATAATAACCATTCAACATTCTAAAACAAACATCATTTGAATAATCCTGAACAATTGACAAAAAAATGCCTTTATTTATGTATTTTTTTAGCTGGAGGAAGAACCTTGTTTTTGCAAAAGCTGTAAGAGTTGAGGACAGAGTCAGTCCTGCTTTGTTAACAGTGATAATCCCTATAGGAGCTACAGTAGATCTACAGCAATGGGTGGGTTGGGAGGCATGGTTGTCTGTCCAATTACAGGCTGACTACAACAATGCACAGGATATTGTTGGCATGCTGTTATTTGTAGTGATGTAGGGAAAATGCAGGATGGCATGACAATACTAAACCAAAATGCACTTTGTGGGTTTGATTTACTAAAACTGAAGAGTGCAAAATCTGGTGCAGCTGTGCATGGTAGCCAATTATTTTCTTCAGTTTGTTCAGTTAAGCGTTAACAATAAAACCTGGAAGCTGATTGGTTTTTTTGAAGAGCTGCACCAGATTTTGCATGCTCCAGTTTTTGTAAATCAACCCTTGTGTCTTTTATTGTCATGCTGATCCGCTAAGCTCGTGCTGCTAGCAGAATGAAAGGACATCTATGGTCATAACATAGAGTATACTTTCATTCTTTAACATCAGAATTGTGGCTGTAATAAAAACAATAGTTATTTTGACAATCCATTAAAAGCATACTTCAAAAATCCCCTTTCATGTTGTGAGTTCTTCCTTTCTGCTGATCATTTCTTTCCACAACTTCCTGGATTTCCTGCCTGCTTTACAGGTTCTCCTCTGCTGTTTACTATCAATTTCTAAGGACTACATATCCCATGATACCTTGCTGTCTGTAATCAGTGATTCTTGTACTGACTCCCCATCCTGAAACTCCTCCTCTCAGCATCTCTGTAGTTCAGTAGGCAGGCTCTGTGAAATGTGTGACACAGCAGTGCCTACTCATAGGGCATAGTGAATGCGTGTCACAGAATTTAAGGAAGTTATGCGTGGGGATACTCACAAAGTAAGCTTACAAACTTCAATATCATTCAGATTAATTGGAGTAGCTAGGAATAATTTAAATGCAATGCAATAATAATTATATGATTTTACATTTTGACCATATATACACTTAATCAGATATTTGATGATTACTTGTTGAAACTACTAATAAAAGGGAAGGCATGGGAAAAAATATTACGATTGTTATTATTATGAATCCTTATATGGGTATTCTTGTTTTACAGTAGGTTTACAAACATTTTAATGTATATAACAGATAAATACAAATGGATAAAGCTTGTCTTGAAGCATACGTGTGATCAGTGTGTATAAATACATTTTACCATTCACATACCAAACTCTTTGCATTAAGAAAGGATCCTTATTTAACATAAAAAAGTATGATATAATTAAAAACAAAAAATAAATTAACCAAGGTAAACACGGTTATAATAAATAA